CTTACCTTGTCTTTGAGTTTTTCCATCCAGCTTCTCACTAGAAAAAAAAGAGAATAAAATATAAATAGCCTCACATTTCTTTTACTTGCATTTCATAGGATTAATCTGATACATTGAAGGAAGCTTCGTGCACACACACTGCAGATGTCAATAGTACTGATACATGACAGCAATGGTCTTGCTTTTATTCTCACTTGTTTGGAAATGCAACAGAAAGCACAAACCTCTCGCACATCCTTGTTAGATGAGAAGAAAGTATTTTAGTTCCCTAAATTTTTTTTTCACTTATTATTAAGTACTTTGGGGGAGGTCTAAGAAAAGACACAGGAAATCACCTTGAAAGTGTGTCGCTCATTTTCCCTCTGACCTTCTCCTTCAGCTTCATTCCTCAGCTTTCTCAGTTTCTAAGCTGCACTGGCATTACATCAGAGAACAGAGCAGGAGGTAGGAGAGGGCCCCGGCAGGGAAGGGAGCCCAGCCCAGCTCCAGAGACACACTTGCAATTGCATTTGAATCTGGAAGAATCTGACCAATGGCAAGAACAAGTATTTGCAACGTGTATGTGTGTGTGTGTGTGTGTGTACATATCCTGTGAATTGTACTACTCTGACAACACAACCAGAATGAACAATAAAAATAAAAATCTAGCAGTATTTATAAAAGCCAACTAGAAAGGACTAGATCAATTATGATGTCTATGTAGAGCATGATGTCAACCATTTGGAAATATAGAGGTCAAAAATTAGAAGAAGCATTAATCAAAATAAAAACACAGGGGCTGGGGATCTGGCTCAGAGGCTTAAGCGTCTGCCTAGTAAGTACAAGGTCCCAAGTTTGATCCCTGGTACTGCAAAAAACAAAAACAAAATAAAAACACACGTTAGCCACATTAAGGATGGTTTGAAGTTGGCAGCGAGCACTTTATTTTTAATGTTATAACAGTATTTCAACACTAAATAGAGATTATTTTTCCCAGTTCTATGGATTTAATTTGGGGTCTTGTACATGTTAAACAAGTGTTCTACCATTGAGATACAATCTTTCTTAAATTTCTTTTTTAGAGGCAAGGTTTGTTAAATGTCCCAGGTCAGCCTCAAACTTGCAATCTGCCTTAATTTCTAGAATGGCTGGGATTACAGCCATGTACCACCAAGCCTAGTTAACAAAAAAACATTTTTTTTTTTTTTTAATTTTTTAGGGAATGGTTTACAGGGTGTTCAGAGTCTCACTACTAGATCGGACTTGTAGTGATCCGCCTGTTTACAGCCTCCCAAGAACTGGGATTACAGTTGTGCGCCACCACGCCCAGTCTCAACTGCGGAGCCCCAGGGGTGGGGTTGATGGGATTGAGCCCCTGGCCCATGTGCCTGCTTGAAGGCGCTTTAACCCACTGAGCTATTTGGTTGACTCGAGATTTTTTTAAAAAGCTTCAAAAAGGAGAAAAATGACAAAAACATACTCATTTACCTTTATTATCAAACAAAAGGAATCAGTTTTAAAACCCTTTCAGATTTCTCTAAATTGCCTTTCTTTCCTCGGGAGATTCAATGGGTAAGAAAGAAGGGAAGATGGTGGCAAGCTTTTCTTATACAGCCCAAGGAAAATGCCTTAAGTTCTGTGTGGAATACGAGCTGTCACAGCTCTGCTGCTGTAGTACCAAAACAGCCGTAGTCAGTACAAAAGTAAATGGGTTCCGCTATGTTCCAGCGAATTTTATTGGCAGACACTGAAACGTGAATTTCATGCCGTGTCCATATGTCATAAATATTTTCCTCTTGGTTCTATTCAACCATATTGAAATGTGAAAATAAAACCCATTCTTCATTCACTAACCACCAGAAAAATAGACTACAGCTCCCTGGAATGAGCATATTTTATTCAAGAAGTTGTCACCTCCAACTTATGACTCCGGTAATAATCCGTCTGACAGTACTGACAATGGTACACACACACACAGCTTTCTCCCTTACAAAACACATCGCAGCTTGCATCACACGGCCAGAAAACTGACACGCATGACAGCCAGGTAAGCTTATGCTTAGGGGCAGGTGGAGAAACAGCTCAGAGGAGCTAAGACTCGCCCACGGTCAGCCAGTGAAGAGTCCCTGAAATTCAAGCCTGATTTAACAATCCAAAAGCGAGACTTCCCGACCACCCATTCCTTTGGTGACACCAACACGCTTCTGCTCCCTCGGGCCTAAGACACAGGGACAGCTTTGGCTCTTCCCCCTCCTTCAGCCCTGGCTCCAATCTCCCACATGAAGACCTCCTCAAGGCCCCCAGCTTGCTCTTCCTCACAGGTCTCTCTGTCACAGCTGGGATTCAGAGGGACCCAGTGATGATCACTCAGGAGGAGATCAGGGGCAAGGAAAGGTCAGAGGAAGCAAGTCCAGGAACCTGGGATGAGGCCAGGGCTGTGAGGGCTAGTTACGAAGTCCACCACAGACTCAGTGGGGCCTCCGCAAGCCCGGCACTGGGCATATTCCCCCACAGACTCACTGAGGACAACTTGCGGCCTTCAGCTTCCTCTTGTAGGAGACAAAGGGGTGATGATTGTCCCGTAAGATTGCTGAAAATACTGGAAGTAACAGAAACAACGCTTTTGTATAGTAATGACAAAGAGGCCAGAAAAAACACGAATTCTAAGAAGAAAAGAGAGTACTGTGTCCACATGTCCAGTTTAGTCCAAGACACAAATTTAAATTCAAGCAAGAAGATATTTCTAATACATTAAGTAGGTATTTATTATACAAACCACATTTGATCATGGATTGTACTGAACATTGGGTCCATGGAAGTCATGGGACAAAATCCCAGTGAGAAAAGGGTTAGGCCTCAAGTCAACAATGAACAGTAGGTGACAAGAAGAAATGCAGAATGGAGAGCTTGGGGCACAGCGAGAAAGCCAGTTCCTGGGTAAAACTCCAGTCTCAAGTCTGACGTCTG